TTCCAGACTCCATTTGTCTTTTGCCGAAGCTCAGACTCTGGCACAGGATCGGGAACGTTGGAAGCTCTCTATGACGTGTCTGCCTCCGCGACCCGAAAGGAGAAGCGGGATGGAAGATGAAGATCTCCTCCTCGATACAATGAGTGTTAGCTAGTTTCAGTGATGGAGTAGAAACACAGGGCATTCATTTTTCAGCAAGAAAAATGACATTACTGAGATTCCATTAACGTTTTGGACACCTATTCCTAGATGAGATTGACGGTTCCTTCATTATTCACTGCTCTTGTACTCAATGTCATGTGATTTAATTCCTTGCTTATTGTAAATTTACCTGACCTAACTTCTTTCAGGTACCTCATCCATACATTTCGTCTGGCAACACTTTGCGAGTTCGCTTCCGCGCTGACGATACTGTCACTGCGAAAGGATTTGTATTTGAATACTTTTTAACAGATCCAGTAGAAGGTGATATTTACACGGAACCCCCTGGTCCGTACACCCGACCTCCTTTGGAACCGGTCATTAACGAGAAAGCGAACAAAATTATGTCTGGTACTCAATCCAACTAGTAGACCAAGATGAAGAATCAATGCCAAAACTGAATGTTTCTCATTACGGTGCTAATTCTTTCCTGATCGTTCCGCTATAAATCTGTTCGAACCTGTTATTTTAGCATGTTAAACATGCCATTTGTTTCTCACCACTGTATTTTGAAACCGATCGATCGAGTGACTCCATGAGACTTGTGTTTTTATCTTTTCCTGTGCAGCTTCGCATATTCTCTCTAGTATTTTGTGTACTGCTTGTTAAATTTAACAGACAGCGCTGTAAGAAAACGGGTATTGTTCCAAAATGTGCTGTAATTTGCCTGGTCACATTGGCTACTTTTCGTTACGTGTTTTCAGTTTCACAAATCCTCTGTGTCATAGTCATTTTATCGTTACGGACAGACGCTGCTGGAAATGGAGGTCGCGTTTTGAACCTGTTTTGCTGAATGCCTGACCTGTACCAGTTTACTACTGCTGATCAGCAGCAATTTTTCTGAAACTCCTGTTTCTGTAAACCAGATTCAACATACTCCAGCATAAATAATTTGTTTGAGTCAAATTTACGAACTGGTTGTGCTGGACAACATAATATTTCTAAAATGTACCACATTTCTGTTTAACCATTCATTCGGTAGAAAATAATTTTGAAATCGCCCAATAACAAAAAAAACTGAACATGCGCTAAGGCTTAGTAGATCATCACAGACATCTTTAAAAGCAACGCTTATTATCTGTAAAATTGTAAAATCCGCACCGTCCTTTTTAGACGATGGTTTATTCTGGAGGAGAAAATAATACATACGGTACAAGTAGTTAAATGATTCGCATGGTTCTGCAGGAACTGTTCTTTGCAATAGCCATTTCTAAAAATTCAACCGTATCCGATAAGCGAAGGAAAGATAATGTGAAGGTGAAGTTCTCAGCTAGTGCGTTATCAGCGACTCACAACGCAATCGTCTAGCGATAAAGTCTGACTACAAACTGGTAGAAATAGCATGCCTCGTAAGTTGTTCTATCCAAAAGTATACATTAAAAATCACAATCAAGAAGTTGAATAATTGCAGCGATTCCCCATCTTGACGTAGCGCAACAGGCTTGTCACCGGGCGAGTACAGAACAGCAACGGTAAATTCGTAAATTTAATTTCTACTAATGTGACCACCAATGGATTACGTTGTAATTACCTGCGAACTGGAAGCCTACAATGAGGTAGCTACCAGAACATCGGGGTTCTAACTTGAGGAATATAATCTTGGACAAAACATAACTCTAATATATAAATATATGTTAATTCGGGACCTCTCGATACCACCGTTGAAGATATCACAGTAAAAGTATTGAAACTGCGAAAATATATGGTGTAAAGAAAGAAAAATCTATTTCGCACTTTACACCGGTGTAGCTCTTCTGCACAGCTCCCTTGTTTTTAGACGCCTAGGGGGGCCGTTTAACTAATCTACAACTCCATGGCATTTAAGCGCCTGCAGTGTATAGGATGCAAGGCCACGTTTCAGACAAGTTGAATAAAATTATATTCAACTAAGATTGCCAAGATCCGTTGGATAATGATAGACAAAATATAACCACGATGTTTTCGTTAAATACCATGGAGCCGTGGCCTTTCAATTCGATATCAATATTTTTAATGTGGTATTTATATTATATTTTAGCCGGACTACTTCCTAAAAAACCATAAATTTGTTGATTTATGTACCATATGAATAAAATTACTCCGTCGCTGCTGGTCACAAGCTCAAAGAGGAGCG